CTTTTGACCTTCTCTACATAATGCGTGTCCTCAGCCAAAAAAACACTGAAATAAACGATGCAATAGCAAATGTCCCATTGTTAGTCGTTGTATTTTTTGATGAGTTAGACATAACTTGGATCTTGGTAAATAGAGAAAATCAGTCTCCGTTGAGCTGTGTTGTAGGTTTTTTTAAAGAGACATATATTGTCACAAAGACAAGATTTTAACGCCTTCTTTATGATATATTTGTGTTTATTGAGTTAAGTCTCAAAACTTTCACCTGGGCTAGACAAACGGACATTTACCTAGTCTCTTTATTCTATTGAGACTCGAAGATTCTCCATATTAATTTAGATAAAAGACGCAAAACATGTGGCATTCGGCAACGCACATATTTGGTCTCATTCGATCATTAATCAAGCTGAGAAGTAGTACCAACATTATGCAATTTTATACGAAATTAAAGAATCCGATTGATGTCGCTACTTTGAAATACCAATCAGATCGCTCAAATCAGTATTGAATCGCAGAATCTAGACCACTTGCCCACAGAACATATGCTCGCCGGACAGATGCCCGCAAGACACTTGTCCGTATGATGCTTGCGCGCAGCCTCACCCTCAACATTGTCCATTACGGGTACGTATCACACAGGCAACTGTCTTGCGGATATCTGTCCGGCGGGCAACTGTCTAGCACGCAAGTGGCCGTGTTATGATCTGACCTCTACAAGGCCAATCATGCCATTCACTCATCACTATCCACTCTTAGTATGACACGTCCACATATATCTTCTTTCTTTTCTTTTTCTCTTTCTTCTCTTTGGTGATATATACTTGCGTATTGTTATACATAGTCAGTTGTTGTTGTGTTAAATAAAAGTTTATGTTCTTCTAACATCACGCCTTGTAATGGAAAAGAAGAACATAACAGGCCGTAACCGTGAATCGCATAGTGTAGACTGTGTTTTTGTCAGTAGTTAGTATTTTTTTGTCAGATCTAATACTTATTTGCTTATTGTTCAAAGTGGATTCTAAACAAACCCGTCGAAAACTGCTTCAAATTGGATAATATACAAAATTTCATAAACCACAGTCAAATAAACAAATCGAATTTCTCGGATCGGGTCGAGTTCAGGTTGAACTAGAGGACTTTGGGTCGGCTGCGAGTATCAAAACTCAAACCTGCGCAGAACTCTATCAAGTCTATTACTTTCCTTATTACATGAATAAAACACTAACAAGTACATCGATCAGTGTATGTCGTAATTCTTGAAGAGTGTGGGTGTGGGTGTGGGTGTGGGATGTGGGTGTGGGTGTGGGTGTGTGAGTGTGGGTGTGGGTGTGGGTGTGGGTGTGAGTTTCAGTGTTGCTGTTTTTTCATTCACTCCCCACATCCACCTTCACACCCACACCAGCACCGCATACCCACACCCACACCCACACCCACACACCCACACCGACACACCCACACCCACACACCCACACCCACACACCCACACCCACACCCACACACCCACACACCCACACCCACACCCACACCCCATATTTATGATATATCGGTCTTTTAATTTTATGTTGGAAGTCGGGTCGATTTCGTTGTTTCCATTTTAATTTCATGTTTTTTTGTCGTTGCCGTTCAGACTTTGATAGTGTTGTGGTGGTTGTTTGTGTGGTTGTTGATTGTTGTTGCTGTTGTTGTTCATTCGAGTTAAGTTCATCAAGTTCTTGTGCTGTTGTAGTTATTATTAATTCATCTTGTGAATAATTTGATTGACGTGGAGCATATTCGTTTTTATTAAACCTTGGTTTTAATGATGTAATTAATTCGTCTTCCATTATGTCGGATAATTCATATAGAAAATTTTTTGTAATATTTGTTGATGTTATTGTTGGTGCTGGTAATGTAATTGTTTGTGTTGTTGCTGGTGGTGTTTGAGGTGTTTGTTGATCATTTGATTTGCCTGGATACATATGGAAATATAATTCAGCTTCTGAAGTACAATCATTTGTTGCATATTGTACCATTTTTAATCGTTCTTGTTTTTCTTTTTGTTCATTATAATTATGTCGACTGAATAACTGGTTCTTCCATGTGTTTAATTTTAAATCAAGACCACATTGCCACCAGTTTACTGTTAATGATTTGTCGAGAAATTTCTTAAATATTACTTCGATTGCATTTTGTAATGACCATACTGTTGCATCATCATAAGTTGTTGAATCTAATTCTTCGGCACTTCCATCCATTTCTTCATCATCGTCTGTATCATCATCATCACGCTTTTCCATTTCTGGATGCGTTTTTTGTTGTTCGAAATACCATGATCTAAACGAAGATTGTAAATTAATATCTGGGCGTGTTCAACCATAGGGTACCCCAAATTCTTTTTTGCTTATATAACTTTATTGAAATATTGAGAAAAGGTAATTTTTTACTAATTACAATGCAGATGTGATGCCAAGGATCTATTGTTGTTTGAGGTCTGTATCTGAATGAAAACAAGGATTAATAAGTATCTTTCTATAAACATTTTGTTAAAACACTTCGTATGTCATCTCTGAGCGTATATGAACTACTATATAGAAAATTAAAATAACTTAGAGTGAATCAGAAAGGTTTTATTTTCATAAACTTGATCAATAATGTAACCAATTTTTTCATATTTTCTATTTTCGAATAGGATATTTAATTAAACTAAGATTACACAAAGCGCAAACAACCTGTGAGATCTTGGTAATTTTATCGAAATCATCAATAGCTCCTCTGTAAACGCTACCAAGAATAGCATAAGTTTTGATACGTTGATTGATATTTTCAATAGCTGCTCTTGCACTATTGATATCATAGTTAAAGTTCTTTTCTTCAGTTGATAATTCGCCTCTATGAGATTTCTTCTTTGGAGTAATGACATATTCTTCTCCAATATATGCTTTATCAGCAATAATTTGCACAGAGTCCTTCACGTGTTCTAATAATAGCGATTCGCGTAGAATGGTGATATCATGTACGCTTCCAGGGTAACTTTCGGAAACATGCACTATTTGATAATTAAAGTCGCAAGCTATCTGTATCTTAAATGCATAATTTGTTGCACTTTTCGAGTGAAAATAAGCTTTACGTTGCTGTGAATCATTAGGTTGTGGAACAGCAATAGAAGTTGAATCAACTATTAATTTATGGTGTTCTTCAGGTCCATGTGCTGTGTTTTTACTGTCCATATCGGCTGGTAATGAAACGAGCTCTGGATATACACATGAATGGAATATGTCCACAACTTCTGTTAAAATATGATGCACTGTAGATAGACTTAAATTTACTTCAGTAGCAATATAGCGTTCCGAATGATAATGCTTTAAGTACCACAAAGTCACTACAAGTAAATTCATCGGAGATAAAGATGTTGTGTTAACGTTGTCTGATTGTTTCTTTGTTCTATGTAAGCAATATTTTATCAGTGATTGTTCACACATCGAATATAATTGGTGTACTTGTTCAATATCATGTCCTATATGTTGTATACAAGATTCATAAATACGACCCCATTCAGACCACGGACGTTGTTCTAAAGAATATAAATAAAAGGAATACGTCTATATCAAATGGTTAAGTGTCAATTACCGTTATTCAATTTTTGAAGTTTTTGAATATCACGATGTTTTTGTTCTACTTCCTGTGGTTTATCTCCCATTTCTGACGCACAATGAATACAATTATCACGATGCCGAAAAAAGTGCGTGTATAATCCAGATCTTCCCGAGCCAATACATGTCCAAGTTAACATAGAATGACAATCAATACAATATTTTCGACGATCAGTAGTAGTAGATCGACATTGAGAACAACCCCATTTAACTTGTAGAGAGAACATAAGACAAAGTACAAGTTGTTGTATTTGACTGAGAATGCGTTCAAGAAAAGGCAGGACCGACAAAACCGAAAAGAAAATTTTTAGTTCGAACACGAACAATGTGATTGGGACAGAAGATACAGCGAATCGAATGAAATGTTGCTATGCGTGACACATATACCATGAATATTATAAGTTTCACAGAAAAAAAGAAAAAGGAAAAAGAATATTATCTCGTCACATGTTTCCACGAAACAATAACTAATGAAAAACGATGCATGTTGGAAGATGACATACGAAGTGTTTTAACAAAATGTTTATAGAAAGATACTTATTAATCCTTGTTTTCATTCAGATACAGACCTCAAACAACAATAGATCCTTGGCATCACATCTGCATTGTAATTAGTAAAAAATTACCTTTTCTCAATATTTCAATAAAGTTATATAAGTAAAAAAGAATTTGGGGTACCCTATGGTTGAACACGCCCATCTTCAATATTCTTACCTATATGGTTAAATTCCAGATGTAGAAATTCTTTGAATTCATCTTCTATTGGACCCCATGTAATAATTTCATTGTAATTGCTGAATATTGTTGACCATAATTCTTTTATTTTTTCATATAAAATTGTATGTCGATCAGGTAAATAATTTGTTTCAATTATTATTATGGTCGAATAATTGATTGAGTGTACGAATTGTATTTGTATTAATGCACCTTTTTCATGTTTTTTATTTTTTGCACCTTCAGTGTCGAGGGTGTATCGTTTTGTTTGTTGTGCTTTTTCAATTAATTCATTTAATGTGTCCAGATTCGATTTATAATGGATGTGGATGATGTTGATATCAGATGAAGGTTGAAATGATGGGTATTTTAATTTTAATGCTTCATTTTTTTCAATTTTTCTGGTATGCTTTCGCCAATTTCGTTGTTGTTTTGTACTTAGTTTATAATAATATTGTGGTGGATGAGATAAAGATCGTGTTGAAGACATAGTAATGTATCACTAAAACGAAAATTACGTAAGTTATGTTTACATACCATAATAAAATAATTTCTTCGCTAAGGTCATTTTCTTTGAGGTCAGTTTTTCTTTCCTTTGTATATATAGATGCTCGATTATTATCCATATATAAAATTTTCTTTTTTTTTTGTATATAACAGGCGGTTCTATTGTCGTCCATATATAAAATTTTTTCTTTCCTTTGATGTGGTCATTATGTATATATCATGTTGGTGCTATGATTATAGTAAAGTTATCGATGTGTAACACTTGCGTTCTTCGTTGCACCGTACAGTCCGGCCGATATTGTACTAGTGCCTCGATTATAATGCACTGTGATTGGATGATGAGTCCTCGCGTATCATGTATTTATCCGATGAATGAAATAAATAAGATAAAATGTATTAAATATAATGATTGTGTTAGACAACCCCTCCTTGTCAGTGAGAAGGTGAAATTCTGTCTCCCCGACATGGACTGCTGAATCAAACTCAATCATTTTAATTTAATTAAATGAATAATAATAATTAAATTTTTCTTTTTTTTTTTTTTATACTTTACTAGTTATACTATCATGTCCCACATCTTTCCCTTTTGGGATGTGTGTTATTGAATTAAATTCCATCGTTCCACCAAGGGAACGATAACATCCATTGTTACTTGTCTTGTTAATGTTAATTTTTTTACATGTTGAACGACGAATGTTTTATGCCCTAATTGTTCAATAATTTTAAATGGACCTTCATATCGCATATCAAATTTATTTCTAACATTTCTTGTTTTTACTAAAACTAAATCATTAATTTTTAATAATAAATCTTGTCTATGTAAATCATATCGAGCTTTATATTGTTGTTGATTTTTTATAATATTGTTTCGAGCTTTATTTACTAATTTTTCGAGATATATTCTAATTTTTTCACTATGCTCTGGATCTTGTGTGAGCGAAATAATTTCTTTTTGTTGATCAAATGGAAGTGTAACTTGTCTTCCATGCATCATTTCGAATGGTGTTTGTTTTGTTGTTGCATGTATTGATGTATTATAATTAAATGTAACAAATTGTAATAGTTCATCCCAGTCCGTACGTCGTTCATTACATAAGGCAGCAATTTTTCCATCCATCGTAGCATTAAATCGTTCAATTTGTCCATTAGTTTGTGGATGATATACTGTGGAATAAAGATGAGTGACTCCAATATTTTCAAATAATTTGTTCATGACTTGAGAAGTAAAATGAGTACCATTATCAGTTAATATACATGTTGGAGTGCCATATTTTAATATAACATCATTTATAAGAAATTTCACTGCTGTTGTTGCTGAGCAATCTCGAACAGCTTTTGTGATAACAAATTTTGATAATACATCTGTTAGAGATATAATGTATCTATTTCCTTTTTTTGATGTTGGAGTTATTGGACCATGAAAGTCCATACTTAATAATTTCCATATTCCTTCCGGTGGTGGTATTGGTTTTAATTTTCCTGGTAATTTTTGACGACGATAATTATTTTGTATACATGGTAAACATGAATTTAAATGGTTTCTAATATCTGCTATCATTGTTGGCCAATAATAACGTTCTTGAATTTTTCTTATTGTTTTGTCACGTCCAAAATGAGCTCCATTAGCAGGTGTATCATGATAAATTTTTAATATATCAGCACGTATTCGTCCTACTGGAACGTATGGCACTGGTGGGAGTGGTAGTTATTGTTTTCTAAATAATATTCCATCTTTAATAAAATACTGTTTTTTATTCTTACTATTCTTTTTTATTTCTTGAATTGTTTTGTCTTCTTCTTGACATTTTCTTAAGTCATCCATATCAAATGGGATGATCTTGTTTGGATTTTCATCTGATGGTTTGATTATCAATTCTTCATCAGTCGCTACTTTCCCTTGTGGGATGAGCTCATTAATTTTTCCATCCGTCGGTTTAATAGATGGTGTTGCCGTTACTTGTTGTTGTAATTTGGCTTGAGCTCTAGTAATTGCTGTTGTTATTTTTAATGGAAGCAAATTATCATTTAATGATGAAAATGATAAATCTGTTTGTGTTGATGTTGATTCATACTGAGTTCGTTCTTCAATATCTTCTTCAGCTATGTCGACTGGTGATCTTGAAAGATAATCTGCCATATGATTTTTCTTACCTTGAATATGTTTCACCTTAAATCGATATTCAGCTAATTTTAATCGCCATCGTTCACATCTTTTATTTAATTGTTCTTTGTTTGTAAAATGAATTAATGGTTCATGGTCAGTTTCTAATATAAATTCATGTCCCCTAAGATATTTATCCCATTTTTCTATTGCTTGTACTATTGCATAACATTCTTGTTCAATTGTTGGCCACTTAATTTGTGCTTGTGTTAATTTCTTTGACGTATATGCTAATGGTCGATCACCATTGGAAGTAATTTGTAATAGAACAGCACCAATTCCATCTACAGAAGCATCAGTTTGTAATTTGAATGTTAATGTATCATCAGGTAAATCAAGAATAAGATCAGTTGTTAGTATTTTCTTGAGTTGGTGGAATGCTGTTCTAGCTTCAGCAGATAATTCAAATTTTAATTTTTTATTGTTCTTTTGTTGTTGTACTGTTGCTGAAGAATATTTATGTAATGGTGCAGCGATGGTGGAAAATTTTGGAATAAATTTTCGGTAATATTCTGCTGCTTTGACGAATCTAAGTGCTTCTTCAGGTGATGTCGGTTCACGTGTATCAGTTAAACCACGGATGTTGTCTGGATCAGGTTTAATAGTACCAGCTTTAATTAAATGTCCAAAAAATAATATTTCTGTTCTTGCAATTTCACATTTATCAACATTTAACTTAAAATTTGCTTGATGTAATAATGAACATACTTCTTCAATATGTTTTAAATGTTCATTAAAATTTTGCGAGTAAATAATAATATCATCGTTATAAGCGAGTACATGTTTCCACCTATTTGGACCTAATATTTGATTAACAATTCGTTGAAATGTTGGTTGTCCATTAGTAAGACCTTGTGGTAATACTTTAAATTGGAAATGTCCATCTCGAGTTGAAAATGCTGTTTTTGGTCGATCTAATTTGTCTAATAGTACTTGAAAATATCCAGCTTTAAAATCGAATTTTGTAAAATATGCTGCTTTTGTTAATTGGTCATAAATATCATCAATTCTTGGTAATGGAAAAGCATCTTTTGTTGTAATTTGGTTTAAGCGACGATAATCGACGCAAAATCTTGTTGTTCCATCCTTCTTTTTTACTAAAACGACAGGTGAAGACCATGGTGATGTTGAATGTTCAATAATTCCATTTTTTAATAATTTATCTGTTTCTTTTCTTAATGTTTCTTGATCTTTGTTTGATTTTCTATATGGTGGAGTATGAACAGGACGGTGTGTACCAGTATCAATAGCATTTTTTAAAATTATATCAATTTTGGATGGTTCACTAATGTCGAATAATTTTCCATATTTCCATAAAATTTTTAAAATTTGTTCTCGTTGTTTATCATCGCTAATGTGTTCAGTTAATTTATTTATTTGCAGTCTTATTTCTTCAGGATAACATTGATTTCTTAGATGTTTAAATAAGTTGTTTCCGGTATTAAAATGTTGATGACATTTACGACATTGATGATGTTGTTTCTCATGCGAAGCTGTAATCAGCCTATTCTTAAAGTTTAATTTATTTGGTCTATTCACTCCTTTCCCTTCAGGAATGAGCTCTTTACACGCTTTTCCTTTCGGAATGCGTTCTATTAAATAATTTGATGGTACGGTGACACCAATTGTAGAAGATAACTGTGTCACTATACCTAATTTAGTTCCTTCGGAAAGCGTTTGCTGTCGATTGGTTGCATTAATTATACTAATTTTTATTGTTCTATTTTCAATGTTGAGTAATGCATTGGCAGTAAATAATGCTTTGTTTTTTAATCGAGGATTTGGTTCAAATAATACATCAGTCATATTGTTGGGTTGGACTGTTGCTTCTACTATTTTTTCTGAAAAGGGAGGAAGAGTAATATGATTAGTAAGAGTAGCTGGATAATTTAGGAGAGGTGGTTTTACAAAAGGAGTTGATACTTCTTTACCTCGACTTCGGATCATAATTCGTTGTTCGAGTGTAAGAATATAAACGTTGTTGGATTGAATCCAATCACTACCTAATATTAAATTTGTAACAAGATTTGTTGTAACATCAGCAAAAAGTTTTGTTTTTATTCCATTAACATTTATTTCTAAAGGTATTTCACCAATAATATTTAATGTTGAGCAATTTGCTGATAAATGATTCATTGTTTTTGGTATTAATTTTTCATGCGATATATCATTTAATAAATGATTCATTGTTTTTGGTAATAATTTTTCATGTGGTATATCATTTAATAGATGTTGATGTATAATAGTGATGGCCGATCCGGTATCAATGAGTGCTTTTTGTGGAGTATTGTTGCATAAAATTTTGACAAAAATGGGGGCAAATGTTGTTGGGGTTGATGACTTTTTGGCTCCCCAGGGATCGTCGCCATCATCCGATCCCTTTATTCGAAAAAATGTTGTTGAGGACAATCACGTATTTGATGATTTGATTGTCCACATTTAAAACAGCCGTTGTTCTTCTTATAAAAACATTTAGTTGTTGTATGATTGTTCTTATTGCATATTAAACATGGATTTGATTGTTGTGTTTTGTTTCCTGGATAATCTTTTCGATTGTGTTGAGAAGTTAAATAATTACTTTGCTTTGAATATGTTCGATTATTTGTTGATGTTGATTGCTGTTGATGCTCTTTTTTATAATAATGACGTGACGTAAATGGTTGTTGATTTGATGGGTGAACATTTGTTGATGTTGGTTGAATTGTTGCTGTTGGTAATGTATGTTCAAAAAATGGTGTATTTTTCGGTTCATGATTTGAAGAATTAATTTTTTGTTGAAGTCGTTTTTGTATATATTCTTCTTCTCTGGCAACTTGCAACCATTGTTCTGGCTTTTTAATGTCTCTTTCATTACGAATTAAATGTTGTTTTAATGAATTTTTAACATCATTCGGTAATACCGTAATAACTTGTTGTTCAGTAATAAATTGTCGGTACTTCCTGTATTTTCGAATGACATTTTCATAAAATGATATAACAGATTGGTTTTCTCCTTGGTGAATATAAAAAAAATTCTTGTATTAATTGACTGTTTGATGTAAATTCTTTAAATCGATCTCGTAATGCTTTTTCAGCATCACTCCAGTTGGTGAATGATTGTAAATTTTCTTGATACCATCGTAGTGCTGGTCCTGTTAATTTGCCCATTCTTTCAAGATTTCTGGTTTCATCCTTTAATTTCATTACTGAAAATAAATTATTTAAATCAAATAACCATTCATCAATATCAAGTTCATTATCTTCTCCTGAAAATTCAGCAATTTTCTTCATTGCTTCTTTTTGACTTGAGTGAAGTTGGCGAGTTTCCATTGAGGTTGTTTCTATTTCTTGTATAGATAAAATATCGTTTAATTTTTTATTTCGTATTCGTGTTGGTGAATTAGTAATTAATTCGTATGATAAAAGATTCGCACCACTTTGCTTTATCGCTCCTCTTGTACCGGTAGCCGTTGTTAAAATATATGTATAAATGCACTTAAAAGAAGGACAAAAAATTTGACCTTTATATAGAAGAAGTATACCTTCTTATGATAATTAAATTTTGAAATTAATTTGTATGTAGATATGTAATCTTCTCTTTTCTAGAAAGATGAGATGGTACTTCACTCTTTTCGTTATGGATGAGTAAATTAATTAATAAGTTCGTTCTTCTTCGATGTAGTAAATAGAAGAAGATGGGTCACGGCACCAAATTGTTAGCCCGTTTCTCGAGCTTATGATTATTATATCGCCTGCCCTTAAATTCACGTACATATATATATATATATATATATATATATATATATATATATCAGAAAAACGAAAGGAAAACAGAAAAAGAAAAAGAAACGTACATAGACTTAAATAATAAAGAAAAAAGATGGAAAGAAAAGGTAGAGAGATCGAGGGGAGTGAATGATGCTAATTCACCGTTAACACTACCATTAAGATAAGCCGTGATCGAAAGGTAGATCTCCAGCACTGTTTGTTGTTTGACTTTGTTCGTCTACGCCATCAGAGATAATGTGCTACAGTTGAAACATTTTCTATAGTTATACGAAGAAATGCTTTAAGTGTATCTTTTCCAATAACAACCGATGAAATAACACGTGACAAAACATGTAGAGCATCTGCTAAGAATATATATTCATCAATTAAAATTAGAAAACAATATTTGATCAGAACATCTCAAACGATAATGAATCATTTGTTCATACCACTCTTACGAGCTAATTCACAATGAAAATGTCAAATTTCAAAAATGGATATGCGAACAGCAACAATGGTAAAAGTGATATCATGTCTATTAAATTTGCCCAACACCATTGTAATATCAGCATCAAGACAATTAGTACCATTAGTAACCATACCAGCTAGCTTTTCTGGAGGTTCACCATTATTATCCTTTAAGACAATAAAAAGAAATGTCTTAAATTCAACAAGGATTATTCTACTCACATTTGAAAGTAAGAAAACATTTACAGCTGATTGCAAAATAGCATCTAAAATGATAAATGACTATTGTATTATAGAAAAAAAATTCATTTATATAGGGGTCGAGTGATTAGAGAAAAAGACGTTTTTTAATAATTGAAAGTTACATATTAATATTTAGTCAGACAAATTTCTTTCTTTGTGATTGAATTCTGTAACCAAACTTTGATCTATGTTCAAATTAATACCTGTAAAGTCAAGAGAAAATTAAGCGGCTAACACTTCACTAAACTTTTTGTTGTGCTACCAGCAATCTGCATTATTATTGTCATTGATGTTCACTCCTTTGTCTCAACTATATATATGTATAAACGCACACGCTACCCAAGAATTTTCTACTTCGATTGATATTGAAAAACAAAGACAACATCTATTTAGGAATGTTGAAAATTTCAATTACGAAGTGATTTAGTTACGTCTTGACCTTGATTTATTTGCAACTTGTACAAAGTTAGCAAGTCGTTATGCGAAAAAGTTGATGAGTTGACGAGATCCATTCATATTAATTGACACTTGATGAGTATGTTGACCTGATTGAAATTACACTAGTACGATTCTATTTGCATTTTGACAAAATATAAACATAGCACAAGCAATTAAGTCAATCATTCAAAATAATCGATAAATGAGAACTTGATATAATCCTAAGTAGTAGGATAAAATAATGAGAAAAACAGAAATATGTAAACTAATAATAGAAACAATGAATAATTTATTGTACCAAGATATATATACAAAATATTACTTTATCATGATCTGATGCCAAAACATGGGATCTGGTTGATCAGTTTTTCTATTATTTTGAATGACGAAATGTCCATTCAAATTATACTAGTAGTTCTCTTCATGTTTTCAATGACTTATGATTGGTACGTGGATGGAGAGAACAAGAATTTTTTGAATTTTGAAGATAAATTTCATAGGACAAAACTCAATATTTCAACTGATTTTAAACATTTTCCTTATATTAAAGTTGGTTTTAATTAAAATCACAAGGATAACATATTTTTTTTGCACTGCTCGTAGCGCTTCCTTTCGAAAAAAAAAAAAAGAACGCGTATCCAATAGAAAAAAAAGAGTTAAAAAATGGAAGAAACCAATCTAAATCATACTTTTTTTTTAGATAAAATCTTATACATTTAATTTTGCTACCAAAACGAGAATATGTTTCCATTTTGAAACATTGATGTTGCACACATAGCTTCGAACGAGCCAACACTAAAATACGGTCGATACTTTGGTTTGTTTGTTCAAATGTGCTATACGATATTGTTTTGCCTACACAAGCAAATGTAGAATATAATTTGAGTTGGAAATTTTTTTAGGACCTACAGTACGCTGGTTGGAATAATAGACAGTTATTATAAATACAATCAAATCAATCTGTAATTTGTAGAGCACACTTGATTGAATAAAACAAGATACTGATAATGTCGTGTTGCTGAACTATTCAAATGTCATGGAATGAATAAAATTCATTGTAATTATAACATGTTCATTTTTCTGCTGTATGATTCGTTGAATAAACTGATCGCATTTGAATTCTTTTCTCTTCTTATATATATATATATATATATTAATCACATTTATATTTTTTTCATGTACATAAACCAATAATCTTGCATTAAAAAGAAAAGAAATAAATGGACTTATAGTTATTCTACTTTTACTTTAGATCATAAAGAAAACCCATTGGTTCATCTTATTTCAACATTGAAGTAAACTAAAGACAAGTACCACAAGTTAGCGAATTAAAAAAGCCTAATTAATTTTGTATTTGTATTATTCTTTTCAGATTAATTTGCCAGTGTTAACTTTTTATTACAAGGTAAATCAATATATAATTATTTGTTCAATTGATATAAATATATTTTTGCATATTGCTTGATGAAATAAAGTGTGAATAATATTTGTTTCAGTTTTCTGAACAATTAATCTGAAAGAGAAATAAAGAATATTAAAATATATATTTTTTATTAATCTTCGAACATGACACATTTCAGATATTGTAAGATAAAAAATAGGATGATACAATCGAGAAAAAGTCTAGTTTGATATTGATCAGCTATTTTCACTAAGTTTTTGAAAACTCATCTTTCAACTAGCCAGAAAAGCTACAGATGTTTTTTGTATCAGTAAATGTGATTTATGTATTACAAATTAGAATAATATAGTTTAATTCTCGAATTAAAAATGAGTCGTCTTTTGATAAACATAATTTGGTTCTTCGAAATTATTGTTTTATTCATTAAGAATTTAAAAATCTAATATATGAAGCATTAAAAAAGTTTCTAAAAGGTAATAAACGTTCGACGACAAGACTCAAAAACAGTCATTTCAGCTCTATTTCTACCGGCATAGATTCGCATATTTTAATCCTTTGATTCTTTATTATACAATGGACGAATATTCCGTAAAAATACAAGAAATAAAATAGATAATGAATTTTTATGAAATAAATCTCTGTCCTGTAAAACATTTAATTAGTGTATTAGGAAAATGACGACTGATTTGTTTCAAATTTTCTATTACAATTGACAGCATGAGTTATTGAAATTTTCGAATATTAAGAATATATAAAATTAGTTTATATCGACCAATCATATTTGATTTTCATCATCTTTCATTTCAGAATGTGTTTGAGCACTTCTATCAGGTTTCTTATTGCTGTCCTTCGTTTTTCTATTGTATCACTTGGTTTTTTCCGAGTAAAAAAAAAAACAGTAGCGCAGGAAAAGGATAAGTGAATCAATTCTAGTCAAAATAATCAATTATACCAACTAGCTGTTCTTCAAAGCTAGATTTTTAATAACTTGATCAATCACTAATATTATGCATCCGTTGAATCATCAGAGAAAATTAAAATCCCTAATATTTATAACAGCATTTAAAAAAAAGCATAACCTGAAATGACAGTGTATTTTTTTATATACTTGAGATTTTCTTCATTAGAAGTCTACGCGAAAGATTAGTTGTACTGTTTGTTAATAGCCTAATAATGACATTCGAAAAGTCTCTTAACAATTTTTTAAATGAAAGAAATCATTCGTAAGGACTAAATTACGTAATATTTAGAAAACTTTTTAATTGTTCCACTATTCTTGGTTATTAATTTGGAAGAAAAGAAATAATTAGGAAAAGTTTTTTTTGTACTATTCGAATTTTGGTAAACTTTTAAGTGAATGATATTAATAAAACAGTACATTTTTTACTAGTAGTAGAATTCGCCGAACTATCATTTAACTTACGTTTTGATAGCGTTATTATATCATTTTTGAAACTAAAATATCACTAAATATTAATTTTATAGCGACAATTTACTTCAGTAATCGGTTCTTTCGATTATTCGTTAATGGCGAGCATTAATCAACGTATTTGCTTCGATTATTTGCATCTTATGGCTTCAAGAAATGATGGTTTCAATCATGGTGATGGACAACCTGCAGCAAATAGTAAATATCTAGAAAACAGTTAATTAGATGTTAGAGTCTTTTGGTTTTTGGGCGAAGATACTGTCATAATAAAGTCGGTCGTTATAATGATGACATTATAAAATAAGAAGTAAAAACCAAATCTACTATGACATATATAGCATGATTCACTTATTTTTACTAGTTTTCTTCAGTTTACTGTATTTCTATAAGACTTCAGATATTTTATCTTTTTATATTGTTGGATAGAGCATTGATTACTGTATCGAATTGTATAGTTTACTTTTGATTTATTCCTTGTCTTGACCGAGAATTTTGTGAAGTTCTAAAAGTCCTCAAAAAATATTTTTGTAATGGAAATTCGCTATTTTTCTCACATCATTGTAACTCACTAAATGCATGAATCTTTCTGTTTTCTATATAGCGGAATAGAGCGTTGATTTTTCTATCAAATCATCTAATTTGAGTCTGATTTTGACTGAAGGCTTTTAGAAATATCCTGCGTTACAAAAATAGCCCGAAAACTTGTTTTTCATTGTTGTAATGAAAAGTGCTAGATAACTCAAAATTCAAAAATTAAAATGCAGCGTTCTCCTCGAATATAGGGCGGTTTCATTCAATACTTGACCTTAATATCACCGTGCAAAAATTTTTTTTGAGGGCTTTTAGAACTTCACAAAATTCTCGGTCAAGACAAGGAATAAATCAAATGTAAACTATACAATTCGATACAGTAATCAATGCTCTATTCAACAATATAAAAAGATAAATATCTGAAGTTTTATAGAAATACAGTAAACTGAAGAAAACTAGTAAAAATAAGTGAATCATCCTGTATTTGTGATCCATATAAGCATATATGTGTTTCAAACTTTGGTTGATGAATGTAAAACAAGAATTAGGTGATTGCTTTAATAAAAAGTTTTTGAAGCAAAAGAAAAATATGAGAACATATAAATCATTGACATGTTTCGCGTACAACCGGTCTGAAAAATGGTTCTAGAAAAGCGATAATCTTAATAAAATCTTGGTTTGCGTATAATCAATCGAAACGAGAGAAGGCATGGTTAATATAGGCTAAGATTAACTTCTGTAGACATGTTGAATACTACTAACCTCTTTTCATTCGAAAAAATCATTTTCACAAGTCACTCGTAAATTAGAAAAATCTAACGAAGTTATATTACTGAGAGAGTTCGCCTTTTTATACTCATTAAATCGCAAAAAAGAAACGGAAATTTAGGCATGCACCGAGTCTGAACTTCAGTTCCGGATTCGGGTTCGTTCTGAAATTTCGGTTCTGGTTCCCGTTCGGCTTTGAAGTTCGAAGGGTAACCGTGTGAGAGTGAGAGGCGAGGATGAGGCTGTTTTTGAACATTGTTGAAATTTCCTAGAATGTCTATGGGTCCTCAGTTTTCCATCATGTTTTTTATTGTATCCAGACCTTTTATAAGCAAGCTTGAAATGTTATCTTTCGGCTTTTTACCAATTCTATTTATAAAAAAAGCTGTTAGCGCAATCCCTTGCGGGATTTAAAATGTGAAACACGATGTAGCTGCTATCCCCGATGTTGCAAAAGCTGTTGTTTTTTATGCATACTGATGTACATTTCTTCATAATGGTTTACCTTACATTATAGACTTTCAACAGGATAGTACTCTATATACGCTTCAATCATATCTTAGTTATGCATCATCTGTGATATTTTCTTGAAGTCTCCTATCACTGTCTATAATGTCCTCTGAGTTCTGTCTGTCACGGTCTGTGATGGGTCTAAAACCTGTCTGTCACGGTCTGTGGGGGGGGGGGGGGGGGGGTCCAAATTTCTACCCTTAAACACTTCAACACTCCTTTGAGTTCGTGTTTCACAATAACCGAATACAAGCTTGTATACGAACATGCGAACTCGTGCATGACTACACAAAGTAAACTTTTTTCGACAAAAAATTCCTGTTTGTGTTCTTTCAAAATGTAGAAAATTCTAATAACAAATACGAGAACTTCTACGCATTCTTACCACTGATACCAAAATCATGTCTAATAACTCTGAGAAAAGTAATAGCGCATACTTTTTTCTGAAAGAAAAAAATTAGGAAGTAGAGAACGCTATCATAGGTGTAAAGCGGTACATTAATCAATGGGTGCGGGGTATGGTGATGTGAACGTGGTGAGTGTGAGGAGTGGGTGGGTATGTATGAAGGGAAGACCGACACTCGCATTCCCACTTGAATGTAGGGATTCACCGCACAGTGGGCAACTTTTGTATAGCAGGTGGACATGCAGTGTCTTTGCTTAGAAATGACTTTCACTTGACTAGAAATGACAGTATATCACTCAGAAAATCGTTTTTAAGAAAATAAAAAGTTTTCTAAGAAAAAATTTTTTTTCGAAAAAATATGCTTGGGGGACCTCAGCTTTTTTTTCCGAAAAAACATTTTTTTTAAAAATATGCTGACCTGCATAGTATTCGATGTAATTTGATGCGCTGATTCCCAATATCATCTTAGTTTTTCTTCAAAATGTAACATGGAAGCCCAAAACTGGATTTTCGACCAGAAACCTTGGGTTTTTCGACATCCTGGAAAATAGTCTTAGAAAGGATTCATGAGTTTGCGCTACTACCGTAATTAGGATACATAGCCAGGAATATCTGGTAAAAATTTCAGCTCGATCGGACGTTACTCCTTCGTAGGTTTTTGAAAGTCCAAAACGGCAGGGCTTCTGGTCTGGATCTGCTTTGAAA